GATTAGGGTTGTCTAATTTTTAAAAGAATCTTTCATTTTATTTTTTAAAAAATCAATTCAGTTTTTGTTCTGGTTTGTTGTATTGTTACATATAATTCAATATACATTTTTTAAAAATCAGCAAGGAAAAATTTAATTTTAAAGTGTTCCAGGTACTTCTGATTGGCATGATATATACCAAAATGTTCTCAGTCATAACATTGCTCTGTAAGCATGCCTCATCACTAGCTACCATAAGGTAACTCGTCAAAAAACAGAATTGGTTTCCTAGAAGAACCTGGTTATTTACAAAGAATCGGATCTTCTCCACACATTACATATCGTAGGTATGTACGATGCTCAAATGCTCCAAATAAGTTTTGAAAAACATATATTTATTACAGAGGTACGTATTAGAGACAGGACAAGCTGTGGTTCTCTGTTGAGTGTACACTCAGTGACAAACCCAGGTTTGCTACAGCATGTGAGAAAAGGTCTTTAATAAGCTGTTGCATGCTTCCTTCCTTGTGAGGTTAAGGAAGCAACCACAGAAGGAAAGAATAAAACCGCCTAATAAATTACAGGTGGAAAAGCTTTCCATGTAAGCACGAAGCTTTCCATGTAAGCAGAGAAGACTAATAATTTAGAGAGCATGTCAGGGACTGAGTCAGTTCTTTTCTTGGCAACCTTTTAACTACTTCCGTATGTGGGTGGAGGAGATGCAGATTACAATAAACTTCTGTCAACACAAAGCACACATTATTTCCCCTACTGTTTGGAATGCCATACTCCCATTTAAACAAAAATCTGCAAAAGTCCCCTATGATACATGCAGGGCAGGACCTCAATTCTCAATATTCGGGTTGAAACATTCCACCGACAGCCACTTGATAACAAACATGGCCGACAAACAAGTCAGAATTGTCAGCTTTTGACATTTTTGATTCACAGCCTTATCGAGGTTTAAAATGATTTTTAAAATAATCCTGTAAGAACCGTTTTGAATCTGAGCTCCCTGTTTCTGAAATATTCTTGAGCTGCACAGGCCACAAGTCATTTGCCCGATTTTTAAACAGAATGTCAATATAACTCTGATCCCCAAATCCAGCAAGCCTCCTACCTCTCCTTATCTATTTCTCAGATGTCTAGACCTGTGCAGAATTTTTCATTAATGCTACCGGGGCTATGACCCTCTCTTGTATTTATGACTGGAAATGCTCACAGCCCCTACGTGCATTTAATGTTTTTAAACATACACAAAATGCCAGAAACACTCCCTCCGATATATACTTCTATCATTAAAAGGCAGAGCCTCACACTCCCCTACAATTCAGTTTTTCTTTTACAATATACCAGGAACTCACTTCTACTACATCTTAAATGCAGAGCACCTCCATTTATTTTGTTCATAAAATCAGCAATCCTCACTACAGAGCTACATTAGGCAGATGGAGATGCCACAGAACAATCCTCACCAATAGATTACTGCAACGTAAAAAATAGCACAATGTAGCTATTGCTATCCTCACCTGTAGATTACTGCAACGTAAAAAATAGCACAACCCCTGTATTTTTTATTTCCATTTCTCTCCAATGGGGACTCAAAAGCAGCTTACATAATTCTCCCCTCCCCTATTTTATTCTCACAACAAGCCTGTGAGGTAGCCCGGGCTGAATGTGACTTGCTCAGTCACCCAGCAAGCTTCAGGATTCAAACCCATACCATAAAGACCCACTTCTTGACGTTTGTCCCTGCTTTGTATAATTTGTCATTCTTGACAAGAAAAATGAAAGAAGTCCTTTGAATATTTAAATCTTCTGCTATTATTGGCATTTTTCTTGTGTTGTGTGTGTGTACGCGTGTGGCCATCCTGCAGAGGTTTCAGGCAAGACATGAGAGAGGTGTTTTGTAATAATTTCCCTCTGCCACAAATAAGACTACTAACTAGTTACCAGATGTCCTCTTTTCAGAGGACATGTCCTTTTTTGTGTGTGTCCATCCTCTTTTGGGCTCTTTTTGTTAAAAACTGATGAAAATGTCCTCTTTCTGGGTTGGCAGGTTAGGAATATTCCTAGTTAGTGGCCATTATCCCAGCTTAAATAGCAGGCTTATTTAAAATGAGGTCTGTCATCGTGATCACTTGTTTGAAATAGATTCAGGCAGGGTCGCCGTGTTGGTCTGAAGCAGCAGAACAAAGTCTGAGTCCAGTGACGTCTTTACGACCAACACAGTTTTATTTACGGTATACGCTTTTGTGTGCACAAACACTTCTTCAGATAGTAAGTCAGGAAAGACATCCTTCTTTTTTTGCTTCTCAAAATATGGCAACCCTACTAATAACCCCTTATGTCTTCCTTGATACAACCTCACCCCCCCTTGTGTATATCTATACCTAGGGTCCCCAGCTTCAGGTTGTGAAATTCCTGGAGATCTGGGGGTCCAGCCTGGGAGAGTGGGTTTGGGGGAGGGGATGGACCTCAGTGGGACGCAACGCCATAGCAGCAATGTTCCCTCTAAGCTGTGGAGTCTTGTGAGCAAAAACTTTACTTCTTGAGCTACTGGCATTAAAGTTGTGAGTAATTCGGCTACTGCATAAATTAGTTTGCTCTGTAGCCATCCTTAAGAACATAAGAACATAAGCTCCTTCCTGAGCTAAGACAAAAACGTGTGAGCTGGAGGCTAAAGAACTGTGAGCTAGCTCACACTAACTCAGCTTAGAGGGAACACTACATAGCAGGGGTGTCGTTATTTAAAGTTTTAGAAAATCTTTGTGTTTGTCTGTGTCCTTCATAAAGTTTATATCTCCGCTACCTGGCATTACCTTATGACACACATGGCCCGGCCCAACAAGGTCTCATTTATGTCAGATGCAGCCCTCATAACAAATGAGTTCGACACCCCTGCTAGAGCATACCCTCCAAAACTGCCATTTCTTCCCGGGCCAGCTCTTATTCTGTGAGATCTCCAGGCTCCAGCGGCCAGCCACCCCCAGTACCCTTAAAGCAAGTAAGGAGCCTGCCGTACCTGTTAAGTCCTCGAAACTAAACCTGGGCCAGATCATAACCATATAATTACCTATATTTTAACAGCGGCTAGAACATTGATAGCAAAGCGATGGAAAACTAAAAGTATGCCATCCATAAAAGATCTGAAGTATAAAATCCTGGAAGTAGCAGAAATGGACAAATTAAACACAGAGTTGCAAAATAAATCGGAGAAACTCTTCCGGGACAAGATGGAAAATAATCTACGACGGGCTGAAGATAAAGAAGACAGAATCAACCTAAAATTAGGCTAGTTAAAAGCTGATGACGTACAGAAGATAGAAGAATGATAGGTTATGGAATGATTAGTACGAATATGTGAAAAATTGAAAAAATCGAAAAATAAATATTAAAAAAAGAAGAAGAGACTAAACCTGGGCCATAAAAACCAGACCCACATCCAATGTTCCCTCTAAGCTGTGGAGTCTTGTGAGCAAAAATTCTACTTTGTGAGCTCCTGGCACTAAAGTTGTGAGCAAGTGATTTGGCTGCTGCATAAATTAGTTTGCTCTGGAGCCATCTTTCCTGAGCTAAGACAAAAAGGTGTGAGCCGGAGGCTAATAAACTGTGAGCTAGCTCACACTAACTCAGCTTAGAGGGAACACTGCCCACATCCCAGTGACCAAAGCAGTCCTCCTTCGCAAAAGAGCTTCCTAACGCTCGGCAGAAACAGAAGCCGGCCAAAAACAGGGAAGACACCCTTCACCCCACCCCCAACCCCGGTCTCGACGTACTGCGGCCCTAAAAAGCCGCCCCCTCTATTTCTACACACACACCCCTCCACAAGCATCTACCCGACGATCTCCCCGCACCTGTGCTCACCCCCTACCTGGAAGTCTAATGAAAGAAAACTAAAACACAAGCGGCCAGCCTCGGGGGACAACCTTGCCAAAATGTTTGGCTAGAAATGAAAACAGCAATATTGGCACAAAGCTTCTTTTTAAGTAAAGACTGCTGGTGGGCAACAAGAAAGTGCTCAGATAAAGATTATTTACCAGCAGTCTGGATATGTTGAAATCAATAGCAATTTTTTTCCTTCTGCTGAATACAAAAGGATTTGGAAGACAGCCGAGCTCGGTGTGAAATGCCCACTGGAATACCTGAGGGTTGCCTCTTCATATTATACTACAGGGCAGCAGTATGAGCCTCAGATAAACAAGGGCCCATTACACAGGCACATTTTACGGCAGATTTTCAGAGCAGTAAGCCTTTAATCTTTGGATTCTGTGCCCACATTATGCACCATTCTTCCTCTGGTGTATTTATTCTGCAGCTACAATTTTAAAACACACTTTTCTAAATCGGGATGGTGTCTTGTGACATCTGGGGGGTGGTGTGCAGTTGCCTTATCGCAGCTGCACAGTAGCGTCCAGCAAGCACCTTCCGTTTGAATCCTTGTGGTTCAGGTTTTGCGCATGCATTTTAGTGTTAGTTCACTGAATGAAAGGGAACAGAAAGGAACACAGGCAAAAGGAGGGGAGATCGATGTTGAAATTGACAAGATTTTTTTTTTAACTGACAAGCAGCTGTGAAGCCCCGCTTTCCATAATGCAGAGCACTAGAG